AACATGATTGTCTGAAGAGGAAATTAAGATTTTGTTCGTAGATGTCACTTTTTTACATATTCGCCATACAACCTTTATGCCCTTTTTTCGTCTTGAAGGAGTGGACATCAAAATAGACATTTATACAGAGAATTGGAAGGGCTATTTTTTGCAGTATTTATATTCGGTAAATAAGAGAATCGACTTTTTCGCCTAATGTCCGCTTGGATGCCCACTGTGGATCTTAGGAATGATAATGATAAATAATTTTGTTTTTGTACAAGCAAAATTTTGAGTAAAACTATGATACAATTTACACCAACTTAAGTCTAGTCATTCTAATTTATTATTATACACAATGTGACATTTGCATTCAACGTTTATTTCTACTAGATATTTAAGAAAAGTTTTCTAGCAGGCTGATGTATGTACTTTTCATATTCGGTCTTTTGGCCGCGCTTAGAAAGGTTTTCCATAGGTTTTAAAAGCTTTTTGAGCGGTTTCCTTTGAACTTATTGTGCCTTGTATTGAAATAAATATCGATTTTAAAGGCAAACAAATACTTTTTTTTTATTGCAAAAAATACAAAAGAAAATTAATTATTTAGCTTTTTGTTATCTATTGATTTTCTGTATTATATTTAACTAACGGGTGTTTCATAAAATGTTGAACAAAATGTTGTTTTTAAAAGCGTATTATTCTTGTCATCTTTAAGACGATAAAATTGTGGATCTTCACATGCTTCTGATGCAGCCTTATCTCTTTTTGAATATGAACATTTTATTTCTAATAAGCCTTTACCATCCGTGTCTATATAATCAATTATTCCATCTGGAGAGCTCTTTAGCGACCACTTCATCTGGTAACTAATTGAATAACACGTTTTTCAACTAGTTGCAGCTAGTTGGAAATCGTATACGATAACTTGGTTTTTATGAAGGAAGCATTTCTCAGAGTTGAATCTAGAGACAATAGTATGTAAAATTTAATTTCCAATATTTTTTCCTCTTGGTACAAAGGACGGTAGCCCATTAAGACCCCTGGGTCCGTTCTTTAAGCGCATAGACCAATTCTTGCATGGTTCTACAGACCTCAGTTTGTACTTCAGAGACATAGTAACCCGAGCTCTAGAGGCTTTATTAGCGCCCAGATTGATACGTTGCAAAATAGTCATTTTAGCCAATTTTGACCAAAATCCCAATAATGGTGGATCTCGCCTGAGCCAGCACAGCTGTGTAGGGAGTTGAAAGTTTTACCATAGTGAGTGCTTAGTAATAGCTCTTTGCAATCAAAATTTCAGTCCTGTATCCTGTACTGGTCCAGAGATATACCGCTCACGAAATGTCGAAAAAGTGACTTTTTTCCAGGTAATACACAATATTTACCACTCGGCAGGGATTCATTCATTTGAGCTGATTTTGTTCCTTGGGTTAGCTGCCTACTTGATCGATTTATGGTAAAATTTCAAGTCAAACGAATGTACCCTTCCCTATACAGAGTGTTCCAAAACATGTATATACTTTGTTTTTTTTCCTCCCTATACATTGATAGTTAGATCTCATATTTCTAGCAGATGTACTAGGCAGTAGTACTCAACTAAGCAGCATATCATCAGTCTTTGGCTGCAATCGTTCGTTGAAAATGTATCAATGTATCTCGCGTACACTATAAAAAGTTTCCGTAGGTTAGAAATCGGAAAATGGGTTGTGTTAGTAACGCATAATTTTGCCTCTGTTGAGAAGTGCTAGTGCTCGTCAGTTGAATTCCTTTCTGAATATGTTTCAACGGTTTGAATCTCTACTGCATCCATGGCTTTTTCAATATTGATGATTGTGTCTTGAATTATCTTGTTCATTCGTGCGTCAGATGGAAGACCGGCCGGCATGAGTTTATCGACTAAATGGATTTTGTCCAATGTGTTTCCTGCGAGAAAGATAAAAAGTTCTGTTAGTAACTTATGAACCTACGTTGCTGTGATACTTTTCTACTTTTCACCGTTTTCTGAGATAACTTTGGATTTCGATAAACTATACTACACTTTTCACAAATCAATTTACGGTCAGTTAGCAAAATACGCTGAATAATCCAAAGCGAAAGAGAACAAATTCGAATATTTAGCTGCCTAGTACAGGGTGTCCAAAAATGTTTTTCCCGAGGGGTACAGTTTCAACGTCAAGGGATACAGAAGTGAATTTTATACCAAATGAACGCTCGTCGAAAACGGGATGTAGAAGCATAACTGATAAGTTTTAGGACGATAATAGTCTACAGAATTGCGAAATTTTCAAGGATTTGAAGAACACACTATTGACGAAACACTATTCTAGGGGATAAAGTTTAGGCTAAAAACAGTTTAGGAATGATGGATATATCAAATTAATGTTTGTGAAATATTCAGTTAACGCAGGTTACTTGGATACTTTTTGCAAAGTTCGGAGAATTTTCTACTTCAAAGTTTTCAATTCTAAGAAACTCTTTTCTAGAGAGTAATAATGAAGGAGATTGCAGCTACTCACATTCAGAGCAAATTACTTCGTCCAATGAGGGGGAGTACGGTTTTGTATACGTTATTTGTGTGCGGTAGCGATAGAAGCAAATCGGATAGCAAATGAACAAAACTGATTTCTGCTGCTAAGAGTGACGGCTATTTCTCCTTTCTTGTGCTATGACGATATTATTGACATGCCTCTCCAATGAGAACTAGAAAGAATGACAACAGAACGAAAAAATCGCAGCCGTGGCAATTCAAACAATCCCTTTTACTTATTCAGATCTCCCGGATTGCACGACAACAGACATCTCTTCCCCATCTCATGATTAACATTGCGATCTAAATAGTCATGTTCTATAAAAATTTTGAAAAATCACGTAATTTTATAGCACATAATCTTTCTACGGGCTTCCAATTATACTTCTAAATTCCGTTTGGTATAAAATTCTCTTCTATATCTCTTGGTGTTGGAGCTGTACCCCCTTGGAAAACATTTTTCTGCACCCTATACAGTCTTGCAAGCAGGTGGAGTGTCAGAAGAGGTTCGACGCGTATCTAAATTTCAGCTTTGTTCGTTTACTAATCCGTGTCATAAGGGCTCGATCTTGACACCTGCTAGCCATATTCGCTGAATGTAAATTTGGCTGTTTCATTCTCCCACTAGCATTTTCTGCTGCGTTTCTGCCTCGAATGTCTCCAGAGACCTCTTAAGTGTTACCGCTATTACAATGGAACTTACTGTTATCTTCTAGTTCTCGTCGCTGAGCAATAGTGGCAATGACATCGCAATACTTGCAAATTTTTGGGTCACAGTTAATTTCTTTTCGGTTCATCCGCAGTCCAATATGTAAATCCATAAGACGAAACTCAACGGCTCTTTCAAGACAAAACGTTGTAAAATCATCGTTTTCAATGGTAACGGCAGCCAGTTCTTCATAAACGTCGGCTAAGTCTGCATATATCGGGTCTTCTTGGTGTGCTATAACTTCTTCTTTCTCTATTTCGACTCGTTTCCAATTAACTTGCTTCGACCAATAAGTGAATGATCTATGAAACGATTTCAAACCTTCAATAATCTTATTTTGTTTCAAATATAAATTTCCCAGGCGTCCATAGGAAACAGCAGCGTCCTTACATGTTGATGCATACACATCTTCTTCCTTACAATATTCGATATGCATTTTGTTACGAAATTCAATTGCCCCGTCAAAATCGTTTTGCTTCTCGAAAACTTCAGAACATTTTTGGTAACAGTCAGCGTCGGAGTCTGAGTCTTCCACAGGTATTTGGACGGCTTTCTGATAGCATTTTATTGCGAGATCTAGCTGGCCGATTTCTTGGTAATAATCTCCAATATCGAGATATGCAAAACGTATTTGATTTTCGTAATTCTCAATATCACTGGTAGCTACGAAATCCGTGAACTTCTCGTATTCATAAACTGTCTCGATGCTGATGATTTTAGTTTCATCTCTACATGATGCTATACCAACGCTGCCAAATACATCGTCTTCAGATGATGAGAGGTCTATTCCGTTTAAAACTTCTTTACATAATAGCCATGCTGTGATGTAATCACCATTCATCTTATGTACACTAGCTATATTAACCTATCTGCCGATGATCACATACCAATAAATGATGAAATGAAGAGTGATTTTCAGTCACTTTTGCATGAACTTTCCTCATTTGACCAACACATGACGCTATGTAAAATAAACTCGGAAGTAACTGATAACGACACAAAATTTAAATTAAAGACATTGAAAACACTGCGTGACCAAAATATGGTTCCGGATGTAATCACGAATGACATGCAGATATGCGTCTACGATTGTTTAGGTATTATGAATATTAGCAATCTCCAGCTGACGCGCGCACTAAACTATTTCAGAATAGCAGAAAATATTGATTCGGATAAAATTAGTAGACTGGCTCGTAAGGTTAATATAGCTAGTGTACATAAGATGAATGGTGATTACATCACAGCATGGCTATTATGTAAAGAAGTTTTAAACGGAATAGACCTCTCATCATCTGAAGACGATGTATTTGGCAGCGTTGGTATAGCATCATGTAGAGATGAAACTAAAATCATCAGCATCGAGACAGTTTATGAATACGAGAAGTTCACGGATTTCGTAGCTACCAGTGATATTGAGAATTACGAAAATCAAATACGTTTTGCATATCTCGATATTGGAGATTATTACCAAGAAATCGGCCAGCTAGATCTCGCAATAAAATGCTATCAGAAAGCCGTCCAAATACCTGTGGAAGACTCAGACTCCGACGCTGACTGTTACCAAAAATGTTCTGAAGTTTTCGAGAAGCAAAACGATTTTGACGGGGCAATTGAATTTCGTAACAAAATGCATATCGAATATTGTAAGGAAGAAGATGTGTATGCATCAACATGTAAGGACGCTGCTGTTTCCTATGGACGCCTGGGAAATTTATATTTGAAACAAAATAAGATTATTGAAGGTTTGAAATCGTTTCATAGATCATTCACTTATTGGTCGAAGCAAGTTAATTGGAAACGAGTCGAAATAGAGAAAGAAGAAGTTATAGCACACCAAGAAGACCCGATATATGCAGACTTAGCCGACGTTTATGAAGAACTGGCTGCCGTTACCATTGAAAACGATGATTTTACAACGTTTTGTCTTGAAAGAGCCGTTGAGTTTCGTCTTATGGATTTACATATTGGACTGCGGATGAACCGAAAAGAAATTAACTGTGACCCAAAAATTTGCAAGTATTGCGATGTCATTGCCACTATTGCTCAGCGACGAGAACTAGAAGATAACAGTAAGTTCCATTGTAATAGCGGTAACACTTAAGAGGTCTCTGGAGACATTCGAGGCAGAAACGCAGCAGAAAATGCTAGTGGGAGAATGAAACAGCCAAATTTACATTCAGCGAATATGGCTAGCAGGTGTCAAGATCGAGCCCTTATGACACGGATTAGTAAACGAACAAAGCTGAAATTTAGATACGCGTCGAACCTCTTCTGACACTCCACCTGCTTGCAAGACTGTATAGGGTGCAGAAAAATGTTTTCCAAGGGGGTACAGCTCCAACACCAAGAGATATAGAAGAGAATTTTATACCAAACGGAATTTAGAAGTATAATTGGAAGCCCGTAGAAAGATTATGTGCTATAAAATTACGTGATTTTTCAAAATTTTTATAGAACATGACTATTTAGATCGCAATGTTAATCATGAGATGGGGAAGAGATGTCTGTTGTCGTGCAATCCGGGAGATCTGAATAAGTAAAAGGGATTGTTTGAATTGCCACGGCTGCGATTTTTTCGTTCTGTTGTCATTCTTTCTAGTTCTCATTGGAGAGGCATGTCAATAATATCGTCATAGCACAAGAAAGGAGAAATAGCCGTCACTCTTAGCAGCAGAAATCAGTTTTGTTCATTTGCTATCCGATTTGCTTCTATCGCTACCGCACACAAATAACGTATACAAAACCGTACTCCCCCTCATTGGACGAAGTAATTTGCTCTGAATGTGAGTAGCTGCAATCTCCTTCATTATTACTCTCTAGAAAAGAGTTTCTTAGAATTGAAAACTTTGAAGTAGAAAATTCTCCGAACTTTGCAAAAAGTATCCAAGTAACCTGCGTTAACTGAATATTTCACAAACATTAATTTGATATATCCATCATTCCTAAACTGTTTTTAGCCTAAACTTTATCCCCTAGAATAGTGTTTCGTCAATAGTGTGTTCTTCAAATCCTTGAAAATTTCGCAATTCTGTAGACTATTATCGTCCTAAAACTTATCAGTTATGCTTCTACATCCCGTTTTCGACGAGCGTTCATTTGGTATAAAATTCACTTCTGTATCCCTTGACGTTGAAACTGTACCCCTCGGGAAAAACATTTTTGGACACCCTGTACTAGGCAGCTAAATATTCGAATTTGTTCTCTTTCGCTTTGGATTATTCAGCGTATTTTGCTAACTGACCGTAAATTGATTTGTGAAAAGTGTAGTATAGTTTATCGAAATCCAAAGTTATCTCAGAAAACGGTGAAAAGTAGAAAAGTATCACAGCAACGTAGGTTCATAAGTTACTAACAGAACTTTTTATCTTTCTCGCAGGAAACACATTGGACAAAATCCATTTAGTCGATAAACTCATGCCGGCCGGTCTTCCATCTGACGCACGAATGAACAAGATAATTCAAGACACAATCATCAATATTGAAAAAGCCATGGATGCAGTAGAGATTCAAACCGTTGAAACATATTCAGAAAGGAATTCAACTGACGAGCACTAGCACTTCTCAACAGAGGCAAAATTATGCGTTACTAACACAACCCATTTTCCGATTTCTAACCTACGGAAACTTTTTATAGTGTACGCGAGATACATTGATACATTTTCAACGAACGATTGCAGCCAAAGACTGATGATATGCTGCTTAGTTGAGTACTACTGCCTAGTACATCTGCTAGAAATATGAGATCTAACTATCAATGTATAGGGAGGAAAAAAAACAAAGTATATACATGTTTTGGAACACTCTGTATAGGGAAGGGTACATTCGTTTGACTTGAAATTTTACCATAAATCGATCAAGTAGGCAGCTAACCCAAGGAACAAAATCAGCTCAAATGAATGAATCCCTGCCGAGTGGTAAATATTGTGTATTACCTGGAAAAAAGTCACTTTTTCGACATTTCGTGAGCGGTATATCTCTGGACCAGTACAGGATACAGGACTGAAATTTTGATTGCAAAGAGCTATTACTAAGCACTCACTATGGTAAAACTTTCAACTCCCTACACAGCTGTGCTGGCTCAGGCGAGATCCACCATTATTGGGATTTTGGTCAAAATTGGCTAAAATGACTATTTTGCAACGTATCAATCTGGGCGCTAATAAAGCCTCTAGAGCTCGGGTTACTATGTCTCTGAAGTACAAACTGAGGTCTGTAGAACCATGCAAGAATTGGTCTATGCGCTTAAAGAACGGACCCAGGGGTCTTAATGGGCTACCGTCCTTTGTACCAAGAGGAAAAAATATTGGAAATTAAATTTTACATACTATTGTCTCTAGATTCAACTCTGAGAAATGCTTCCTTCATAAAAACCAAGTTATCGTATACGATTTCCAACTAGCTGCAACTAGTTGAAAAACGTGTTATTCAATTAGTTACCAGATGAAGTGGTCGCTAAAGAGCTCTCCAGATGGAATAATTGATTATATAGACACGGATGGTAAAGGCTTATTAGAAATAAAATGTTCATATTCAAAAAGAGATAAGGCTGCATCAGAAGCATGTGAAGATCCACAATTTTATCGTCTTAAAGATGACAAGAATAATACGCTTTTAAAAACAACATTTTGTTCAACATTTTATGAAACACCCGTTAGTTAAATATAATACAGAAAATCAATAGATAACAAAAAGCTAAATAATTAATTTTCTTTTGTATTTTTTGCAATAAAAAAAAAGTATTTGTTTGCCTTTAAAATCGATATTTATTTCAATACAAGGCACAATAAGTTCAAAGGAAACCGCTCAAAAAGCTTTTAAAACCTATGGAAAACCTTTCTAAGCGCGGCCAAAAGACCGAATATGAAAAGTACATACATCAGCCTGCTAGAAAACTTTTCTTAAATATCTAGTAGAAATAAACGTTGAATGCAAATGTCACATTGTGTATAATAATAAATTAGAATGACTAGACTTAAGTTGGTGTAAATTGTATCATAGTTTTACTCAAAATTTTGCTTGTACAAAAACAAAATTATTTATCATTATCATTCCTAAGATCCACAGTGGGCATCCAAGCGGACATTAGGCGAAAAAGTCGATTCTCTTATTTACCGAATATAAATACTGCAAAAAATAGCCCTTCCAATTCTCTGTATAAATGTCTATTTTGATGTCCACTCCTTCAAGACGAAAAAAGGGCATAAAGGTTGTATGGCGAATATGTAAAAAAGTGACATCTACGAACAAAATCTTAATTTCCTCTTCAGACAATCATGTT